TATTTTGCTTGGATCATCATTTGTTACCACAGCTACAATACGCGCCTCGGCGTTGCTTATTGGTTCCTTCATCCGTTCCATCATAAATCGCGTACTTTAATAATCTATGTGATTCCTTTGAAATTTCATGAGCTCTAGGGTCTATTACTCTGAAGGTCAATGTTATCATTCTTTCAAGTTGATTTTCCGGGGTTGAATTCCACTTCAAACTGAAATTCGTCACCGTCTGAAACCGCACTGGGTGTAGCACACAACTCAGTATTTTGGAAAACCGAATAGTCTTTAGAATTACAATGTGAATCCGTCACCGTTTATTAGAGAGAGATTTCCATGCTTTAAAACAAATCAATAACGTAATGGTAAAATTAGACAAAAACAGACTGACAATGGTTTGTTTTCTTCTTATTCAATATGCAAAGAATTAAACAAAGGTTTAAGCAGTTTACTGGAATAGACCAAAGCAATAGTGTTTAGTTAAGAATGTGGTTGTTTTGGAGACGTGTTGCAAGAATGCAAACGATGTTGAAACCTGAATCAGATTTTGGATTTGTAAACTAAAGTTGGGAATATAGTCTAGGAAATGGGAGAATGATTGAGCACATGCAACTGCCAGTGGTGGACAAACTAACGGCAAATTAGGTTGATGCCCATGGTTTAAATATTTTTCTACAATCGTTGTCACAAATCGTTTGCATAACAGTGCACAAGGTTACGGAACTACAAATGACCCAGACTCACTCACCCAAGTTATCGACGAAGACATGTGCGTGAACCATCTTCCAAGTGGAATGATATAAGAGGGAACAAATTACGAAAAACTGCTTGTATCTCCCAAAATGTTAGAACACAAGGATTTGGTCGTAATGAGTACTTTGTCGCAACAAGAATAAAATAGTTTGGGTAATAATCTCAGTGATTACAGTTCAGTATATGAAAACGTTGTGACTGGTCGGAGTGTTAAACCGTGAGCTTTTGAGTATTTCGTGAATCACTCCTAGTAGGTCTCACGCAACTGGTTGCAAATAAATGAGGAAAAGCAAGATGAATTCGGTCGTCTGTGCCAAAGGCCGGATGGCGATTGCACTAGATTGTTGTGATATGATTTTGAAGTGCAATTCCAAATATGTAATTTAATGTGAAGCGTGTCACCACTGGTGATAAATGGTTCACTGGGCGTCCCGTTTCCGCACGACCTCACAGTGTCTGATTCGCTAAAATCGGAGGTGCTTTCAAGTAGCAAGTAGTTGGACGTGCAACCCGTAATTTCATGCAACTGAAGCAAAACAAGTTGGAAAATAATAAGAGTCACGTGCAAAGCATATGCCTTTCAGTTTTCGTTAAATACGTGGCGCGTTGAATGGAACGTGTACCATGGGAATTGCAAACTTCAAACAGAAGTACCATCAACGCGGGAATTTATGATTACGTGTGCTACCATTGGCAGTACGTCACGATTCGACTAAATATTTATTTGGCTGTTAATATCATAAGTAAGTCCTCTGCACTTTTCTTTAAATCACTTAGATGGCTACTGGTAACCCTTTAACACCACCGAATATCTCTTCAAACCCTTATCAATCATAACAACACTTAAATCACACACGGACCCACACAAACAGTGACTTTGTTTACTGCATCTAGCATCTAACACGTGCGACTTTGAGGTATTGCTTCATTGCTTCTCATGCTCTTCAGAGTGAATTTGTGCCTTACGGGTAAATTTCACTCAAGTTTATTTTCATTCTATTGTCATATTTGGATAAAAGTAAACCAGCTAAGAGTTATCGCGACGTTGACGTTTTTAAGCTTTGTTTGAAGTTATGAGAAGTTGCTTAGCCCCAGCAAAAACGTGAATGGCACCCAATGATATGAGTTTGTCATTAATTTGATAAACCCATAAATATTGCTTAAAAAATATTCCTATTAATAGCAACTGTAAATCTACACAGACATCGGATTTGTTACCCTCTTCTTTGGTTAACCACACTTATTGAGAGAAAACGGGCAAATACAATACAACTAACCCCGTAAATACAACATCGCAACAAATTCAGCTAACCGAGGGGCTGAAAAGTGGGTACGGGAAGGGATGTGTTGCAAATTGTGTGAAAGTTTAGGGTCCGCGGTTGGTAGTGAAAGTAACCACTTTTCATTTCATTGAGTGCACAGTTTTATTAGGTATTAAGTATTAAGTTCATAGCGTCATCTGGGACAACGGAAGGAGCTTGTTTGAGTTACCGTAACCTGGCTTTCAGCTCAATGGACTTTGTCAGTTTTCAATTTTCCTAGTTTAAATTTCATGACTGAAACTATTGCTCTAACCAGAAGGGAGATCACTAGGTAGTTCAGTTAAGATCAGAGAGATCCTTTGAACCGGAAAACCGATTTTATACGTTGCTCGTTGCTTGACCAGAATATCTGAAATAAATATGGAGCAAATTTAAAAATTATGTTCGATTTTGAAAGATATAGGGTACTCTCTTTCTGATGGTAGTTTAAATAGATAGAATTCAAAAATAAATTCCACTCTCTAAATGCGAAATGATGATTTTAAAGCACTGATAAAATGAACGCTTTACAGATAGAACTAACATGCAGTAACGAAAGCGACGTTTATGATTCTGGTTGCTTCTCACTCCAATGCACTACACTAAGATTTATGCTTCTATATGCTTTCCTTTTCTTCGAAATCCGGAATGATTTTGGATTACGAAAGAACTTTACTTTTTATTAGTATCATCGTGTTGAAGTGTCTATGAGTCTAGTTTAGGGTATTCAGATGATACTTCACAGCTAAGGATAAATCAACTTAGGTAACCCATTTTTTCCGTATTTCGGTATCGCCGCGGCCCATTACATCACGTGCTCTCTGCCCTGAGTCTCTGACAGACGATGGAGTGGAACGTAATCACTGGTTACGCCTCAGAAATGTGGAACAAATGGATTGCAAATGCATGTCCAGGTAAGTAATTCAACCGCTGGCTCTTGAAGTTGAAATTCATAAAAGAACGGTGTATTATTAGAACATTAATCTACTGGCGAACAAATAACTACGACCTACTTTAAATCGACCCCGTTAAGATCATGTAAGTGTTTGCTGTCGAAACACTTCCACAACCGGATGCGGANTGTCTTTGTGTGGGTGAGATCTATTTCGACCAGCCGTGAAGGAGTGTTCGCACTAACAACTAAACCCTAATTGATCTATACAGACAATAATATCATTTTTTCTAAAAGAACGTTTTGCCTTAGAAGTTGTAGCTCAATGTTACAATGAGTTTATTCTAGAACCAAAACAATATCACATCGTCCTAATTGAAACATAAGCATATATCTCTGGGAGAAGCACATATATATCGCAGATGTCTGTGTAGCCCGCCAGATGATTTGCACTCAGAACCTTGTCAAAAAGTTTTATTTATATTGCATGCCTATCGCCTACTTCTCTCTATTTTAGTTTAGTTCCACTGAAAACTAAACAGATGTCCTTATTTGCGGTTTGCCTCGGAATTGAAATGGCACTAAGCTCTGATTGGAACTGCTTATCTGAGTTTGTGGTGGCTAAATAAACCCATGTTTGTGATCAAGATTTGGGTCAAGTTACAGTCAATTTGCTAATTGCTTACCGATATGTCCGTAATATGTACACGAATTTGCCTTCTTTTCACGGTCAGAATAGTATAGGAGCACTCAACGGGGTGGGCCGGGACAAGGTCCGCGGTGGGAAATTGAAATACTTTCTCCGTTCCGTCAAATGTCTCCAGGTACTGATCACAAGCGGCCTGAGGATCAACTGAAACGTTCCAACACATTGAAAAAGGAATACTTTATTTTTCATTATAAGCACCGCCCGGTTTACTCATTTAGGGCCCCAGGATAGTTTACGCAGTCAAGACCATTTACAATTCTATACCATGAGTTATGGCGCCCACGGTAACATGCATGTTCCACAAAGCATATATTAAAAAAATGAAAATAGTCTGTCTTTCAATTGTCGCATGAGACACAAGTGTTGTATGTTATGAAAGAAGAGAATGGACATACTTTGTCAATCATTTCCTGAGATGAATAACTTGTATTTCGTTTACATTGCATAAAGAAGATGTGATAAACCCTGTTATTTTCCGTAGTAAGGTGATTAATTGCAAAAGTCTTCTGGACGCGAAATCTACATCTGTCGAATGCTCAGTAAGAATGCATATGTCAATAAATAAAATTGTCAGAAACACAATAAAGAATGATGTAGATCAAAAGTCAAACGGAGAAAAACATTATGACATTAATTCAAAGCGTTGGACTCACATTCCATTGCTTCCATTGCAAATTGGGCTCCAGCATTCAGGTTGTTGGCTCGAATCCAGATTCGAATGACCTCACTGTCGCCAAATTGCACATGGGACATTTCATCACCACAATAGACCACCCCATTGGCGGCTGTCGCGTCCGTGCCTTCACCAAGTTCTACACACTGAACTGACGATTGTGCTTCATTTGCTGAATACTTTTCAATCGGAATAGAGAATGAATCAGCTGCAGTTAGAATTTCGTCAAATGATTAGCAATCTCAAAACAAGGAAATTCTGCGGAGTGCACGATTGACAATGCTCGTTTCGTGCTTAGTGGGAATAACAATATGCATAACATTTGGAACTAGTTAATAATTCAAGGAATACAGTACCGATGAGTCTCACTTGAATCGGTCCAAATACCAGCTTTATCCACTTCTTCGGGTTATTTGCCATTACGGAATATGGCGTTGCGCAATTGCCCAAAATATTCCATCCTATTGGAGGCCACACCGTTTTCTGCCCAGCGTAGATTGTTTTCGTGGTTTCATTGCAGGCTTGCAATTAGAGAGGAGCACACTGTTGTTTTACGAAAACGGTCGATAGCTAAATAAAGACTCCGGGATGATTCAGTTGACAGAATGAGCAAATGAATTATGACACCCGTTATGGTGAAGAAATATCTGAACTGATTAGATTCCCATTTGCGACTTACCAGCTTTATAATACAATATAAATTGATCTCCAGCTGTCAAGTTATCAATGTGCACGTTTAGAAACATGGTGTCTCCTATCGATCGTACAATGGTGGGTGGATTCCCGCGGCAAAATCGCTGCCTAATAGAGGAGGCAGTTTGTCCATTTCCGCTACCCAACTCAATCTAGTTCCATTCACATGCTCCCTCGTCTCCAACCTGAAACATCCAGGGGAGGTTAATTCAGAAATTAATTGGTATAGTTACAATCAAGAATCTTCATTTTATGCACTGGCGGAAGAAGCATTGCAGGCTATGAGACAAAATCCATAGTCCACCTAAATTCCACCACCATAGAGTAAACATATTTAGTTAAATAACTAAAGTTTAAAAGTGATGAACTAATCTGCAACGATTAAACATGATCAACAATTTATCGCCATATTGATTCATATTATTTCTTCTTTGAATTACGTTCGGCGAATACGAAGAAATATTTGCGCGCTCCCAAAACCAAAGCTCACCATTCTTTCTGATGACATAGAATCATGCCACGGAGAGCATTTTTCGAATAACTTCTATCACGTTTGTTAGAATTCGAGCACTATCGTCCTTGAACGGAGCCACGATTAGTAAATTCTGGGTTTTTATCCGAAAGTTTTTCGGTCAGTTATCATTTTTTGTGGCATTTACGAGTTAACCGTCCTGCATAATTACACTTGCTCAGCGTTCCATGCATATATATCCCGGATTTGGCAAGATTTTGGAGACTTTATTCTCATCAATACCACCGAATTCGAGGAGACTTCATGTTGGTATATCAATTACTGCGGAACCCAAGCCGTCCATATCCGGTGCTTCTCTTGTTTCATCCATAATCTACCTTTGGAAACGTCGTGCAAGTTACTTATTCTAACTTGTGGAATGGAATGGCGATAGCAATGTTTTGCAATACCTTTCAACACCCTTTTATCTCTCATCATTTTTGCACCAACTATTGAATCTTTCAAGGGGGATTTAGTGAAGCCTTGACATATCTTACATTCTTACATAATTGAAAGAAGTAAATTATTTAAAGACTACATTGTCCGTGATCGCCTACTCGGAACTCCATTGGACATTTCATTATTTTTTTTCTAAATAACCTATGGGACCAGAGAAGCTTGAGCTAGTATGTTATTCCCATAATGAAACCTTGAATTTGGTTGCTGCTAGTGACAGGTTGACAATATATTTAGTATAATATATTTGGTAATTGTATCTGGTCATTTTCGAAATATTTAGATAACCCATTATAATGAACTAAGATAAATTTGTTCAAAATTTGGAGCACAAACTATAAAGATATTTTTCGTGATTGGTTATATTTGCTAGTCAGCACACTCCGTGATTTATATTTTCGTCACTCTGTCACTGGAATATATCAGTCTGCAAGATCTGAGTCAGACTGTGGAAGCGCACTTTACCTTAGGTGTTAGTTCTACAAGTATTGTTCGAAAAATTTCAACTCTATCATTGGAGGCTCGAATTTCATTTTCCACCACAAGTTTCAAGGCTGAGCTTTTAGAGTCAAACAGAATGAATTCTTCACTTCAATTTTGTATCAGTTTAAGAGGTATTTATTGGAGTGTTTCAACCTAACTTGGCTTAAATAAATGAATACAATGGGCATATAGTTACGATGAAAATAACTGTGAAGAACGTTTATCACTACTTTTCTTACAAATACCTTGAACTGGTGAAACCACTATTCCACCCCCGTTTCTTGTGCTCCAAACACATACTTACAAGTTATTTTATTCGGGACCGCAAGACCATCTCCAGTAATCATCAGTGGGTTTGGTAATGAGTTGGCAGCCAAGTATTTCACATCGGAGCAGTTGTATTCCACAGAGCTCACTGCGCATGGAGGTAAACGGATAAAGGGATTATACATTCTCAAATACAACAAGAAAGCGACAAAAAAGCTCACTCTCAGTTATTCCTATTCATGCTAATACATCGCAATATGTATCACTGCTTGGCAATAACAATGTTTTGGGAAACTGAACTAAAATCACATCACATTACCGATTTATAGGATTGATTTCATCATGAAACCGAGAATTGGATTCAACACAATCACATAGTTGTCTTTTAACTCATCCGACCACTGAGAATAATCATGATGCGGTGTCTTCGTATGGGTGGTTGGGACATGGAAGCTCTAGTGCCTACGGAAACTGGCTTTAGGCACACATAGGGACAATATGTAAACTTTTTCCTAATTTCTTTGATTTTTCTTCTTCTACTGGCGCATTTTGTTGACTAAACGTTCCTGACATCCGTTACGTGTAGAGATTGATCTTATAACATGGAGCTCTTCTTCCAACGTGTCCTCCATGCAAATCCTTTTCTCTTGTCCACCAGACAACGAATCAGGTTTCCCATTACTTCAGATGGTACAAAACCTCACAAAAGAATCTGGCGAGCTGTCCAAGTTACCTTTCTATGATTATAAATTGTTTGCTGATATCGAGAGTTTTGCGTGGTACTCCTAAATCGAAGTTGTGGCGAACCTATTTTATCCCATAGGATAGTGAGACATTTCACATTGTAACCTAATTAGTCGCCTTCAGCTGTGTAGAAGGATAACCAGATCACACCAGGAGTGAAACACGATTAATTTCTAAACTATCTTGATGATCACATAGGTTACACGAGAATTCTGCGATCTGCCTGTGAGGTCCCGTATTCGATCCCCAGTTGGTTTGATGAATTCGCATTGCTGATGAGACCCAATCAGGTAGTAAACCCCGTACAACGACTCCAAGCCTTTCGAATCACGTTCTATGTGCTCGATGCTAGACAAATGCTTCTATGAAAAAGGTCCGATAATTAATCAATATTCATTTTCCGAAATTTGATAACTGGAATATCTACCGTTATATAATTTATTGAAATATCAAAAAGTGTAAACAGACCAATGGATACATGCACATCAGAAATCAAGGTATGTTCTGCAGATACTGAAGTTGTTGTACTTACCATCGTCAGTACGGAGTATAATCATGTTTCTCCAAGGGAGATTACTGGTGACCATGTTTATAAAAATGGATGTGCATACTAGGTGTTGAATCTGAGGAATTTCGTTACCGCAGTATTTCCAACTTTGCACTCCCAGGTGGGTGGAATTAAAACCGACTCCCACATAACTATCAACACAGTTCGTTTGAGCGGGAAACTGGCAAACCAAAATAGTTTTGTTAATCAGTACTTCAAATATATTTTACATTACCGAGAATCACTTTACGAAAGCAGCTAGGTGAAGACAAAGTAATAAGGAGAACTTTTCTAAATTTATAAAAGGAATAAAACTGCATATTTTCAATCAACCTCTTCGGTCAACATTGCACAGTTTACCTTAGTTTAAAATAGGTAATCATGGCGTACGGTGGCACTGAATTTGGTGAATATAGGAGAGCAGTAGATTTGCATTCCTGAGGAAAAATCTCATAGAATTTGGGCCACGACAGCTTTACGTCTGTTGGCAACTGACCCACATTGGTGCACTGTGTCAGTTTAGGCATGTTTCCTAGTTTGACGGGAAATAATGACTGAATGAATAAAATACACCGTTGTAGTTGATGTGTTGGATTCTAGTTTTAATGCTAAATATGATGGGTTTCCTGCGGGGTATAAACTGTGTATCAAGATGATCCCATCATTAACCAAGAACATTTGTTACTCTCCATTTCATGGATGTTCATTCAAAATAAGTGAATAAAATACGTAGAAATGAGTGTACTTATACAGCTTCATGTCTCATTTTCTGTATAGATTAATGTAAAGACATCATCTGGTTTAAGATGATTGATGAAAATATTCAATTGTAGTTTGTGTCCCGTAGACCAGGGAATTCCGGGTGTCAATATTTCTGAGTCATCGATCCATACAGTCCATCTACATCGATCACTTCTATGCAGTTGTTAATGCATTCACCCTCGTCGCTAAACTGAAGTTGGGAGTCGACAGGATGAAAATTAAAAGCCTACTATGAGGAAAATAAAAAATACCGATCGCAATTTGTTTTGCCAAAACACAGGCCTAGTAGAATACATGTATACGGCTACTTCTCCGAAAACCTTGACAATGCCAAGATTGAACAATCTGGCTGATGTAGCGTAGATGGAATGAAAATATCATGGCTATTGTAAAGCTTTAAAAGTTCACCTTGAATACTTTCATCCGTAAATCCACGCTTCTGGTTTCGGAAACAAATATGTAGGTGCAGTTGATTTCATCTGAGACAGTAACGGAATGATTCTCAGAGGGTATTGTAATTTGTTCAAACAGCGCTTTTACAATTATTGTTTCATTTGTCGGACATTTGTACTCGTTACTCTCCACTCCTAGAAAATGCAAAATAAAAAACAGCGAAGCAGAACTGTGATCATGCCATAAAAGTTGTTGATACCACTGACAGGAGACGCAATATAGCTATTCTGTGACAAACCAAGACAAACCAAAGAATGAGAACCATCTTTTGCAGTGCATAAAGTGTAACCTTTTTCTAATATTTCTGTTATTTTGTGTTGTGAAGTCCGTCATCTGTGTTCGATCAACACAAAGCTGTTTTATAAATAACCCAACCAATCAAGTCATGCTTTAGAATTATACTTCTGTTCTACATATTCACGAGATCACATGATGCACTATTCTCCTTGATTGCATCAGGACTTCTGAGTGCACTTACATTCAGAATTTGTTAATAAATGCGTGATATTTTTAATTTCGTTACGGTAAAACAAGGGCTAATGATTCTAAATGCATATGCTTCTTGTAGAAAGATTCAACTTTGTTTCAGTGAGCGACTTTCTATGTTCTTTGTTGACTTCAAACATGATATGTATATGGAACTTGTGATAGGGTGACAAATCTAATTTTTTGATTAATTGTTTTTCCAACACACGCAGTAACTGCAGAATTAAGTAATTATATACAAAAAAGGTGAATCCCATAGTTTCTTCAACTGCAAGCTGTCTACTGAATCCAAACATCGCTTTAAGATTCAGAATAAACTTTTAGTCAAGTTCATCACAAACATTTAGGAAGGACAATTCCCCACGAGTCTACTGTAGTCAGTACACAAAATATTGCTTT